TTGTTTGTTTGTTTTGTTTTATTTGTTTTTTAGGTTATAGAATTTTGGATTATGGTTCTTTTTTTTTTCCTATGGCTTTACAACGATTCCATTATGAGTTATAAACTGCAGTAATATTTTTGTGTACAGTATAACTGCTATGGTAACTTAAAAAAGTGCAAACACCTGCAGTGTTGTTATCTGGAGTAAAATTCGTTCTAAGGCACAAATTCCAGCAGTAGTTAAATCCTGCATTAATACTGCTGACAATTTCTACTGTGAAAATTGTAAAACCCAAAGAGAAGAATTTTGTTACCCAAAAAGTTAACAATAATGCAAGCCTATAGCTGCATATCCTAACTGATAATCTTTATTTTGGGCATTTCTGATGTGAAAAGCTGGTTCATTGAAAATAATTTGTGGTCTTTTCTAAATTTATATCACGAAGAAGTTTTAAGATTTGTGCATGGTGTTTTCCACTTATTGTATTTTATACTTGATAGTACTTTCAGGCAAAATTTAATTTTTAAGAAAGTATTGACTTCAGTAAAACTAAAATTTTGCAGCCAGCAACCAAAGGTCTATTATATGCAAATTAATTCTGAGACAGACTTGATGCTAACTCAAGCCCTTTATAAACAGGGGACTAGAAAAGGGGTAGCAGAAACTTGGCAGGAATCCAGGAAGGAGGAAGAGGCATCGGGATGCACATGCTGAGAGGCAGGGGCCACAAAGCCTTCAGGAAAAAGTGACTTGTAGCTTGTCAGATGACTCCAGTTAACGTGGTTTGCAGGGTGGTCACGAGGATTGAAGGCAAGTAAGTACTAAGTAATTATCATAAAGTCTCAAATCCACCCACATTTTTGGTATCCACCAAGTTACTGCACGAAGAATGGTGATAAGCAGACTGTCTTCGAGCTCTTAGCTTTTCAGGTAGAGACGTGTCATGCTATGTAGTTATTTGCTCAGATATTCTTGAAAACATTTTGCTTTTTTCTTAAGTTTGCTACAAAACATAACATACACTGCTATCACTTGTCTGCTTACTGTGTGACAGGCACTTTATGTTCACATTGTCCCTCTCAACGTCTCAGAAAGCTGGGTATGTTCCCTGGCTTTACAGGCTAGGAAATTTGATCTCAGAAAGGTTAAGAAATTTATCTTGCATGCACACTTAAGATCTGTTTCTGAAAATTCTCTGAGAATAGAAACTTACTTTCATGTACTATTAATAGTATTTAATATGCTCAATATTTAGTTGGTACTTAATTATAGGCTAAGCAAACCAAACAATTTTAGAATAGTCTATATTTAAAGTTCACCAATCAATTTGGTTGCTAGACAGGTTATTTTTAAAAGTATTGTGGAGAGAAGTGGCTGATCCTTGCAGCTCTTAGCAGCCAGCCCATGCACCTGAGCTCAGCATCAGAACAATGTAAAGGTCTACTGTTAGTGTCTTCTCTTGTTCTGTGGACAATTTAACTCTTTCCATAGCTACTTGGTGTCTAGAAAGAAAAGTAAGTTTACGGTCAAGAAAAATATTAGGCTGGGTATAGGGGCACATTCCTTTAGTCCCAGAACTCAGGAAATAGAGGCAGTCAGATCTTTGTATATTGGAGGCCACCCCAGTCTACATAAACAGTTCCAGGGCAGCTGGGCTACATAGAAAGATCCTGTCTCAAAATCAACAACAACAACAACAACAACAACACCACAAAACAAAGACTACTGGTCTCTTGAAATTTTCTACAACTTGAGGGAAGAGCCTTATAGATATAGTCCCCCCTTCCTCCCTCTCTCTTTCCTTTCATTCTCATTGCTCTTTAGATAGTTTCTTTACAATGAAGTACCCTCTTTAAGGAAGGGAAAGGATACTAAAATAAACCAGAGTGACCACATTAGATCATTTTAGAATTTATGATAAAGAATGGTAAGTGGAGTTAAAAAATCCTGATTATCATGTGAGTTCTTAAATTTAGATGAACATAGTTTATGACCACTTCTACAGATTATCCGTTGAAAAGTTCTATACACACAATATCTTTTAATGAAGCAGAACGTATTGCTGAGATCATAACGGCATAATGACATCTGAGAGCTCTATAGTGTGTATAAAATAAGAACACATCATTTTGGTTGTTTTACATTTTAGAATTGAGACTATAGCAAAACAAGTGATCTCTATACCATTTCCTATAGAATATACCTTTTTGGTGGTGTTATTAGACCACTTTCTTTCCTGAAAGTGGAAAAGGAATTAGATACTGGGTTCAAGCCTGTCTTTCCGAGTCTCCTGGGTGTGTTCCGTCTGACTCTTGCTTCCTATTCTATACCTGGGTCTCAGATCCTCCTCCTTCCCCTCCTCCAAAGGATCCTCCCCAGAACCAAAAACTTTAAAGTCGGTTTAACAAATTTGCCTCCAACTTTAATAGGATTAGGGATTGGCCCACAAACAATGTACATTTTGCCTTTTTTCATCTTGCTTCCATCTCCTTTCCAAACTCTGCGCTCATTCCTTGCTGAGGAATTGCTGAATTTTGCTTTTTTGACCATTCCCTCTCAGCTCCACTCTCTCTCCCTCCCCTCCCTTTTCCCTGCTTTCTTCTGTCTCCCCTACTCCCCTTCTCTCTCATACCCCCTTTCTTAGGCACATCCATAGCCTCCTTCTCAATTAATCTGACTTTATTGTTTATCCCCGAAAAGATTTATTTAAAAATTATTTATTGTAATTGTATTCTTTGTTCTTTCTCTAAATCCGAGGTCTGTGAAACATCTAAGGCTGAAAGCAAATTTTTGTGTTTTGATATAGGATGGATATTTTCTGCCCCTTGAGAAGTCTATAGCTTTTACAACCTCAAAGGAGATCTTGTAGTTGGGCAATGCTTCACACATGTGATGACCTGGGTGTACACCTAAAATTTCAGCGATCTCAGTAACTTGCATGTTGAAGCAAGGAGGATCATGAGTTCGAGGCTAACCTCTGGCAATATAGTTTCAGGCCATGTCAGCTGCCTCTTAATAGATGTAAACACCATTGCTCTCAAGCTATTAAGTTATTCCGCCCTCTCCCTTGCCTTTAGCCACACTTTCCACATAGCCAACCACTCCCTAATTCACCCACGGCTCATACCAGGAGATAATGAGACCGCAAACGAACACGAGAATGCAAGATTCAAAGAAATGCTGAGAATGAGAACAAGAAGAGACTGTACTGCAAACATTTTACGTCCAGCTCATCCCTCCTTGAACCTCGGGCAGGGGCCTGGCAAGGTCAGGGAGAAACTCAAAGAATTGAGTGAAATAAAGGCTGTGTGTGCAAAAATCGCTGGCAGCTAGTGGCGCAGGAGAAGAGCACCCAGTTCGTGGGTGGGGATGGGAGAGAATAGGAGAATGGGAGAGAAACCACAGCACCTCAGTGTCCCCGGCAGCCGCTAGAATCAGACCCAGCTCGGTTCCTATAGCAGGAGCCAGAAACCCTGCCCGGCAGCCACGGTGCCTTTGACGGACAGCCACCTTCTGCAATTGCTTTCCAGTTCACTATAAACATTCTTACTCCTCCCGCCTCCGGTTGCCCTCTCAACCATTCCAGGGAATGGGCGGGATCGTCCTTCGTGATTTACAGTTTTTTTTTTTTTTTTAAGAAAAGGAGGGTATACCCAGCTGCGGGTTCCACCTCAGAAAAAAAAAAAAAAACACCTCGCGGGCTGGGGGTGGAGCTCTTGTGACCGGCAGGAGGATCTACCAATGGAGCGCCTCTCCAGCCCTAAGGCCCGCCCACAGAGGGGACGGGGCTCCAGCAGATTTGGCCAATGGCGGCGATGCGGACCGAGGTTGAGCCGCCGTGGTTAAGGGTTAGTGTGAGAGGTGCGGCGGGGGAGGTAATGATGGTGGTGGCGGCTGAGGAAGGCGGGGGAGGGGGATCTGGGCGCTGAGCCGCGGCTCTGGCAGGGCTCGCTCGGGCGGGCGGGCGGGAGGGGGACGGTCGCAGGGCGCTCCGCCGGGGAGGGGGCACTGCGCCGGGACGGGGAGGGCGTCGTCCGCCCGGAAAGCTGCAGACCCCGGCTCCCGCAAACGAGCGCCGCGCCGGGCTTCGCTGTTCCACGCGGCTCCAGCGGGGATGGAGGACTCGGTGGCGGTGGCTGCTTCTGAGGTGGCGGCGGCCGAGGAGCGGCTCTAAGGAGGGGACAGCGGGATTAGAGGTGTGAGGAGGGCTTGGAGTGGACGAGCGGAGGGGCCGGGGTTCGGGGACCGAGGCTGGGGTCTAACAGCAAGGCTTGGGTGACAGGGACCGCGGCTGGCAACGCCTGTCTCTGCGGAGAGAGGCAGGGGTCTGCACCCGGTGCGTGAGGAGGCGAGGCTCAGGCCGGCTGCCCCTGATGGGGGAGGGAGGCACCGCACCCCGCACTCTCCGTTGGCCCGGCTGGTCATCGCTTCAAGCCCAGGCAGGAGTTTCCATTCCCCTCCTCCTGGCAGCCAAGGTGAAGGGGAAGCAAAGTGGCCTGGACCTGGGACCTTGCCCTCCCTCTGCCGGGAGATTTCCCTCCACTCCTAGCTCTCCATCCATTTCCCTCTCCTACTGAACCAGCATTTCTCCCTGCACCCCGGGTTTTCTTAGCATATATTCTGAGGCTCGAGGCTATTAATTATCGGTTGAAAAATAAAGTTTATTTAAAAATACTCCACTCCTTCTAATTGGTGGTAGATATCAATTAGCATCCCTGACTTTCCCGCCCTGTTCTTCCTTCTGCGATGCTAGGTAGGGAAGGCAGGGCCCCACTGGCATCTCTCAATTGTTGGTGCTGACAACCTGGTGTATTGCCGCCTGTCTTCGGTGTGATTTGTCATTTCTTCCTTGGTATCTTGCTTGCATCCTTGATGTTACTGGCTTTTGAGGCCGGTGTTTGGTTTCATTGTTTGAAAACCATGAAGATATCAGAGGTTGTTTCAGTCTTATCTAACACTTCTCATGCTTCTGTCCTCATATTCTTTCTCTTTTTGTCTGTGTTTTGCTTTTCAGTTCTCCAGAACCCACGTCATATAGCCCCTGAGGTGGACTGGTGATGTCTCCATGAGGGAACCTCCTCTCAGTCATCCTGACCTGTTCATCTAAGATAGGATTTACCCTGTGAAACAGGGAGAAGACTTATGGACTCCAGGCATCGTTTCAAGTTAGAGTTTTTTGTTGAAAGTACAGACATACATGCAAAGCTCTAGTGCTTTGGGCCTCTGCTTTATTAAAGCTGCTGTGTTGCTAATCCAGAACTGTTCCAGTCTATTGACCTATCACCATGGCTTCAGTTTGGAAGCGACTGCAGCGTGTGGGAAAACATGCATCCAAGTTCCAGTTTGTGGCCTCCTACCAGGAGCTGATGGTTGAATGTACAAAGAAATGGTAAGATTTGCTTAGGGGTAGACTGCAGTCTTGTTGCCTTACCACCTTGTAGCTTGGACTGTGGGTCTTTGGTAGCCAGTTTACCTTCAGTGGTACACAAGTGTGCAGAAAGCTGTGCATGGGACAGATACTCTAACAAGTACTGTGTGTATACTGTTGCTGCTGGTACTGTCTCTGTGGATTTTAATTACTCCGTGTCTCAGAGGACTACAACTGAGAGCACACCTAGGTACAGTAGTTTTGGTCTCATGGTAATTTATCATCGATGTTAGAATAACTTTTATTTTTATAACTTTAAACAGAGAATGGTTATACATATATTTTAACATCGCATATGTCTCAGTATAGAAGTTTATAGTCTATTTAATGGCGGTTGTATTTTCTTATTTTTTCATTTTGACTTAGAGCATTTTTCCGTATTTGAATAATGGAATGCCAGTGCACACAACCTTAGAGATTCTCCTGTGAAATGCTTAGTCAGGCAACTGTCTTTTCTTTTAATTGCCTAATGGGATACATTTCTTGGCAGGATTTAAGGAAGCAATTAGTGGCAGTGGTCTGTCATTTGCCTCTTTCTTTCCATTTGAGGAAAGTAAATTTAGGGCTTTCTCTTAATGCTGTGAACGATAAGAAAAGAGAATCTGTACATACTGAGGGGAGAAAGTTAATCTTAAGCAAATGGTTTTGAATTTCGGTTTATTATAGTGATTAAGCACTATCACCACAAAATAAGTCCATTTCATCAAGGATGTAATCTCATGTTGGTAGTAAGCTCTCTTTCTAATGTCCTCTTGGCTAAAGAAAAGAGCTTGCTCCACCCTAGCATACTAAGCTTTGCTTTGAGTTTGTAAGGAACATTATTTTAAAATCAATTCAAGATATATATATATGATATATACACATATATATGAAGTTTATACATATACTGCTGATTTAGAGACAGAAATGGCATCCTCCCTGCCCTCAAGGAGCTCACAGGCTGTGGTAGGACACTTAAGTAACTTGTGATAGGTTCAGTGATGTAAATACATATGTTTCCACTCAGCTGGATATCCTGGAGATGTTACTTCTGTGTAATTCAGTCCCCATGTGCATAGTAATGGTGCCACTTTATAGAAGATTGAATCAGTTAATTCTGTAAAATGTTCTGTAGAACAGGGACATAGTAAACACCCATAAAAAGTCACCATTATCTGTAGGGTTCACAAAACAGTGAAGAATAATACTAGTAAGGGGGGGGGGCAGGTGGTGCCTTGATCTGCTTTCCTGGGATCTAAGCTGAGGTTGACTTTATTTTAGTGTATTTTATTTTACTTACCTTTATTAGGCTGGGCTGGCTAGCTAGTAAGACTCAGGGATCCTGTCTTCACCTCCCTGGCACCAGAGTCACAATCAGTCTGCCACTGCCCCTGACTTCTTACATGGGTGCTGGGGAGCAGATTCAGGCTCTCCCGCTGTGCACAAGCACTTCACTGATGGAGCTATTTTCCCAGCTCAGGACGAATCTTAGGGAATCATAGTTGTACATCAAATCAGAGAATAAGAAGCAAGAAACATTTTAGAAAATCTACTCATTTAGACAGCCTACAGCAAGATCCATGCTGGGAATTCAGGTAGTATGGCTTTATATCATGAGGCTTTAAGTATAGCATGAGGGCTGGATGGATGGGGCATCCCTGTAATTATAGCAGAGGCTGAGGCGGGAAGATTTCAAGTTTGAGGTCACTCTGGGATCCAGATTTAAACCCTGTCCTTAGAAAAGAATGTTGGGTGAGAGGAATCATAGTATGTGGTAGGGCATCTGAAAGCCTAGAAGAACTCAAACCATAGAAAGTAGTATGTTATCAATAGCTTGGGCTACTCCGTGTTGGTGACAGGGTTGCTGTGGAAGTTTGGAGATGAAGAGATGTTTAGGTTTGTAATTGGAGAATTACCAGGCTATGGTTTGGAGAGGGTGGGTAACTGAGGCAGTGTCAGTAGTGTATGTGTTCCTGTTGGTAAGGTGAGGAACAGCGTGTGCGTGTGGGCCAGCGGAAGAGACCTTAGAGTGATGGGACCGGACCTGATGATTGTGTCAGTTGGGATGGGGAGGAAGGAGAGGGAGAGGGAAGAGAGGGAGAGAGGAGGGGGGAGAGGGAGAAGGAAGAGAGGGAGAGAGGAGTTTAAAGTTTAGATCAACACCAGGCTTATGCCTTTAAAAGCTAGGAGTCTACCAAGAAGGAAGGTGGTCTGATTGTCTCCAATTCTTAACTTGGTAGTATACTGGGAACATCTACTTTGAATCTAATTTTGAGGCAGAGTCTCATTGTAAGACCAGGCTGGCTTCAAACTCTGCTTCCTCAGCCTCAGCGTATTAGCTCTAGGCTTATAGGGGCGAGCCCCCATACTTGACTTGATCTCATTTTCTTTATATTTTTATTGTAAACATATTTTCCCTTTACAATATATTCTGACTATGGTTTCCCTTCCCTCCTTCCAGTTTGTTCCTACTGATCCACACCCTTTCTGGGTCCCCTAGAAAACACACAGGCGTTTGAGGGGCAATAACAAAATAAGACACAACACAAACAAAGGACCAGGACAAAGCAGAAGGAAGACAGCCCGAGTGTCTCCAGCACAGGAGACAGATGTGGACTCGGAAACATAGGCAGAGACACACTCAGTTGCATATTTAGGAGTCTCAAAAACACAAAACTGGAAACCATACTTATACGTAAAACCTGAAGGGTAAAACCAAAAACATAATAAAAATAAATGGTTTGCGTCTAATGCTGGGCTCGCAGCCTATGTTTGTTTCCCCAGGGAGACTCCTTTGGAGAAAATTCATTTTTCATTTTCAAGAGACTATCAATTGGAGATAGCTTCTGGATTAGGGATGGGTGTGTGTCCACTTCTTCTTTCAGTTGTAGGGCCCCATCTGGAGTAGAGCCATTCAGGTTGTAGTGCATGCTGCCTCAGCCTCAGTGAGCTCAAGTCAGCACAGTCTTGCTGTGTTTTTAGAAGACCTTGTTTCCCTGGAATCCTCCATCCCCTCTGGCTCATACACTTTTTCTCTTTTTGCTTCCTCTTCAGCATAGTTCCAGGAGCCCTGAGGGGAGGGATTTGATGGAGACTTCCTCTTTTGGGCTGAATGTTCCATGGTCTCCCTCATTCTATGGATAGTATCTTCTTGTGGGTCTCTGTATTTGTTCCCATCTGCTGCAGGGGGAAGTTCCTATGATAGCTGAGCAAGGCACTGATCTATAGGTCTAGTGAAGTATTTATTAGGGAGTCATTTTATTCCCCGTGTTCGGTGAGTTGTGTGGGTGTTATTTGCAGCAATAGGGCCTTGCCATCAGTTTGTGGAGAGCAAACAGCAAGCAGCCTGGGTTGTTTCTGGGGTTCTCACGAATCTCATTTCTTAACAGCATATACATTTCAGGTTAGTTTTCGATTAGAGAAAAAAAATCAGTTTATTTCTGGGTTTGGTGGTACACACTTGGAATCTTAGTACTTTACAGATTGAGTCAGGAAGATCAGGAGTTCTCTTACAAAGCCAGTTAGAGGTTAGCATGGGATTATGTGACACCTTGTTTCAAAAAAAAAAAAACAAATGAAATAAACATAAATAAACAAAATCAGTTTCTTGTGGGGCATGGTGGTTTGCCTCTGTAATCTAGTCATGAGGAAGCTGGAGCAAGAGGGTCATCCTGCTGTGAGGCCATCTTGTGCTAGAGAGTGAGACCCTTTCTTAAAAAACTAACTCCTACCAGAACAAAACAAAACAAACAAACAAAAAAACCCAAAACCAAAAAAACCCCAAATCCATTTCTTCCTCATAATCTGTAGCATGTTTTGTGCTCTTCTTCCCTTGTGCAACGTTTACACCATCGTTATCACATCTTAAGGCAAGAGCACTAGTGAAAATCAAACTTGATTATAGTTGAATAGGTAGCTTGATTACGTTAGTTATGGTCATTAAGGGTCTGGCAGTTAAGTCAGAGTCTGTGATTACATAAGGACTTAATACTAGAAGCACGTGAGTGCTCTGTAATTTTTAGATGGACGGTACCGTGTTGTGAAATCTTTCTTGCTTTCATTTAAAAATACAGTTTAGCAGCTGGGCGGCAGCTCAGTAGATCGGAGCACTTATTGCTCTTGCTGCAGAGGACGCTGGTTTGGTTCTCAGCACCCACATGGAGGCTTGTGACCAGCTGAAACTGGAGCTCCAGGGAATCCATTGCATTCTTCTGACCTTCATAGACACCAGCCACACAGGTGGTGTACAGACACACGGAGGCAAGCATTCATACACATAAAATAAATAAATAATTCCTTAATAAAAATTCGGTTTAAAGCTAATAAGGTGATAGTGCCCATGAAAAAAAATGTATCCATTTGCTGTATAGGAATTTTATTTGTAAGTGGATCCTTAAGAACTTTAAAGAATTTTCATTATATGAAAATTGATTGTAATCATTTGTAGTTAACATTCCTTTTGCCTTAGAGTCCTTGTGAAAATACAAATCAGGCTCAATTTCTAAACTCATATCCTATAATTTTCTCTCTTTTTTTCTTTTTTTTTTTCTTGATTTAAATACTTACCAGAGCTCAAATTATTTTATACATGTGCTGAAGTTAAAATCTGTAAAGTATGTAAAAATAGACTTGAACACACAGTAAGAATATTGTTATCAGCCATGTTTACATTTCACTTATTATGTATTCATTTATTTACTTTTGCAGTCCCGGGGATTATACTTTGGGCCGTCTGCATGGTAAATAAACTCTTCCTGCCACGCAGCTGCACCCCAGGCCTACATTGATGGTTTTGTGTATTACTCTGGAGATGTGGAAGAATGAAAGTAGAGGAGGGAAGTTTAGAGTCTAATTGAAAAGTGAGTGATAGTAAAGATGAGTTATAAATATGGTTAGGATAAGAAAAACATATGTGGTGTAAATTAGAAAAGAAGAATAAAAACTGTACAAAGAAAAACAGGATTTCACTAGACCTCATTAGG